TGAAATAGGTGCTCTTGTATTTACTTAAAAACTGCTGTCAGGAAAATATTTCTCGCCCCTCTTGCCCGTTTGAAGCATGTTTCAAGCATTATTTTCAAATGAATACCATTGATTAGAATGCATTTATGCTAGAGTAGCAGCTCCCTCTGGTTTCTTGCAGACCAAAGAAGTTGATCTGCTTTGTACAATTGAATACATATTTTCCACTTGTAAAAGTAACATTTAGATCCCATGGGAATGTTTTCTACTGTAAAAATGTATAGTACTCATAACTGTAGGAAATGTGTTTGTTTCTACAGAAGAGAAATGAATGTGGTCCATGCAGGATAGAAATGAGTAATTTCTTCCAGTAGAAAACTCTATTTTTAATAGTTTCAATAGCAACAGTACTCCTACTCTACAAAGCTGTTCTTTAAAACCTTTCTGTTCTTTAAAATTAACTGGGTAATACATCTTATTGTGCAACATACTTTATCTTTCATATGACAGATATTTTGCAGTTTTGGACTTAAGAGTAACTGGCTTTTTATTAGGCATTTAAGTGTGAAGCATCTGCAGGTACTGTAGCTTGCTTATTGATTTTAGAAAAGCGTGTTAATCAATCAGTTATGATTAGTTGTATGTGCTTACCAATGCCATAGGTAACAATGTTTGATTAACCTCTTTGATAATCAGAATGGAAATAATCACAGAGAGAAAAGACTTTTAGGCTCATGAAATGGTGAATATTGTTCTGCAGTGCAGCCTGCTGAATGAACAGTGTGTAAAAATCCTCTTAGTGCCAAAAAGCAATAAAGTCTGTAGGCTTTTTCATCTATTAGCTTGGGAAACTGAAGTTTCTTTTCAGATGAGCTTGGCAATGACATACAGATGAGATGCTCTAGGAAAAAGGTACCGGCTTTAAGAGAAGGGAGATGTAATACTTGTTTTCTTTTTCTGCTGATAAAAATTTTCACTGTCCTCATCTTTGACTTCTTTTTCACTCTATTCGTTGTGTTCTCAGTACTTATTTGTTCTTACATTTGGTCCAAACTACAGACCGAGTATAGTTGGCAAGCCCATGAGTTTGTTCCTCTGTATTCATATCTTAGCTCTGCAGTTATAGTAAACTTCTTCAGATCCTGTGGCTGTTCTTGTGTTGTGTTCATAGAAACGGTTCATAAAGCATACCAGCTCAAATACTATGATTAAAGATTATTAATAAAAACCCTGTTGTTTGCTGTAGAACTGTAATGGCTACTGGCTTGTACCCGTACAAGGCTTTACATGGCTTTTAGTCAGCTCAAGTGTAGAACACTGTTATTTGCACCGTCCATGTTTACATGCTTACTTCTGTCACAGAGGAAATAGTCATGAGATGTTACCACCTGTGTGAGAAGTGGATGGAGTCATTCTGTGTATGTTCTGTATAGCAAAGAAGTTTACACAAACACCATTATTATTTAAGATTAACGTAATTGGCCTTCAAAAGCTCTTATTACATGTACGACAGGGTAGCAAGAACTGCTGGGAGGATAGAAGGAACAGGATTCTTCTCAACCACTTTGAAACATTTACAATGGGGTTTTCTAAACTTAACTACTAACCAAGGGCCCTTTATCACCACTGGGAGGAAACTGTTGGCTTTTGGGCCTCATTTAGAAATCTGCTTTAGGCAAAGCAGAATCATATTCTAGGATGCCTGGTTTCTCTTTTTCATCCTTGCACTGATAGTAAGGATACCTCTATATCTATGCTGTGGCCATGCAGATGTAGCAAGAGGAGCACGATGGGTGGTGAAGGCCAAGAACGCTGTTCTCAAAGCCTCCGCATTGCATTTGCATGTGCCTGGGTGCTGTCCCAGTGAGGGGTCGGGTGGCCCTGTCATATGTAAGTGCAATTGCCTTTATTTCCATGCCTGAGAGAAAACTCTGGGGCACACATGATGAATGCAGGGAAAACAGGCATTTTGAAATACAACAGCCAAGTTTCATTAAAAATCATACCAGGAGGAGCAGACTGCTTTCTCCAGTGGCTCAAAGAAAGGATAATTCCCTTTGGGTGTGGGAAGTGCAGGCAAGTGCTCTGTACAAGGCAGCTCACATCCAGCCACAAATGTGTCTCAGCACTTGGGCTGTAAGCTGGTAGAACTCTGCATTAGGAACTGTGTCTTTTGACACAGTTACCTGGGCCACATAAAATAAAACTGGATCAAAGATTATGTGCTTCCCTCAAGGAGGGGAGCCCTGGGCTGCTGCACTGCCGTGAGAATTATTTCTACAGTTAATGCAGTGCTTGGAGTGTTCGATCCTGTGTGTTCCTACTCAGATAGATGGTTTAATGGCTTTGCTACAAAATGTGCTCCTTACTGTTTCCCTCTGACCAGCTGGGGAAGCTGAGGTCATCCATAAGCCTAGGCTGTGGTTTTGCACCACAGAGAATATGAAAAGCAAATCCTTTTTTACCGCTTGCCTTCCTCTCTCTTCCTGTGGCATGCCTTTTGGCACACAGAATGACAATTATTAGGAATTTATTCCTAGTAATGAATACAGAGTGCTAACTCTGTAGTTGATGCCAAGCAGAGCAATGAGTGCATCGGCATGCTGCCTCCGTGCTAACTGCTGCCTTGCTGACATCTGAGAAAGGTGGTTCCATATGCGTGGTGCTCCATTCTGCAAGCTGGCAAGTTTGGAGGTTGATAAGCTGCTTGGGGCAGCTAAGGAATGGCTGCAGACAGGAAGAAAGTATCTGGAGATGAATTTCTTTCTATAACTCAAAACCGGCAGCGTTCTTTGAAAGAAATTTAATACATCATCTTTGTTGTATGTAAGCTCTGTTTTGTTAAAAATAGGGCAAACTTATAATAGAATTTGATCACCCTGACTGGAGCATTGTGAAGAAGGGGCCAGGCACTAAGTAGCTGATGCCTAAATCAGGGGAAAAAGCTAGCTTCCCTGACATTAGGGGAATGAATTTTTAAAAGCAGTTCATTGATATCTGACAAACAGCTTGAAAGGGATGCCAAACCCTCCGGGTCTCTGCTAGGAGCTTTAAAATACATTTGCATATTTTCTGCATAGAAACAGGGTTTCATTCTCTGTTGCTAAACTGCAGAACTAAAAGGATGTGAAAACTCTATCTAGTCCGAAGGGCTTGGAGGGGAAACTTCATAATCGGAATTCAAATGCGCACGACAGATTAGGAAAATGACTTCAAATGGGATTTCAACAATATCCAGGAGACACCCATAAATCCTGAGCAGGCTGCTAGGCAAAATACTGCTTGCACCGTTATTAAAAAACTCAGCTTCTTCTCCTGGCATTTCTCACCTGCAAAATAGCTTGCTGATGTCAAGTGATCAGATTAGAGTTGGTGACGGTGCTGCCGCTTAGTTTTATCCATATCAAATACAAGTTTTCTGAGAATGTTGATCTCTCTTTCTCAGATTCAAAACAATATCTGAAATATCATTGTGAATAGAATCAGTGGTAGAGGAATAAAAAAAATGGTGGTCCTCTGCGTACAGCTAGTGCACCCAGTGTGTGTACAGCTAGAGCACTCCATGGTCCAGCTTGTTGGTGCTTTGATGTTCATCTTGGCTGTGCCATTTACTGTGCTGTAGGTTGAAACAGATGGCCCTGGGACGGGAACAGAAAGCAGGTCCCTTGTGGGAATGAGCAGCGAGCTGCAGTGGATGTAGAACCTGTGGTGACGTCTGTAGGATGGATGCAATTCTTGCTGATAGGCTTCAGTTGGGTGTTGGACTGTGGAGTGGTGTGTTTGGCACACAGTTAACCCTTTGGCATCCCTCACGCTGCTCTTATGCCTGCTGTTTGCATTCAGTGTTTTCCTCATTCCACATTTTATCTGTCTTTTCTGTTAGAGGAAAATACTTGTCAAGAGAACAAATCATTTGGGGCCAAGACTGCACTTAAAATGCAGGTGGTGTTTTGTTGTCAGTGTCCTTCATATCACAGGCTAATTATGCTTTTGTCATTTGAAGAGAAGGAAGCTTATGACTGCAGAGCAATTGACGACGAGTGAAAGTCCCACATCATTTTTACTGTATGGGTTTACTTTCTGGTTGTCATCCCACCAAGGCAGCAACGTGGATGGAGTTCTTATTAGTATTAATGGAAAGCTGCCATTTAATTTCCCATGTGTCGAGCAAGCAATAGGCTTCCATTGCATATATGTGATATTGCCATCAACATGATTGATTTGAGTGAGATAATTCTCACATCCAGTGGTGGATGTGGTCAAGGGCGGAGTTAACTCTTTCCGTGAATGCCTGTAATAGTCAGGACTGCCTTTGAAGTAACTGCTAAGAAGAAAATCAGTGTTCATACAGTTTAGATGACAGCCTGTAATGATTATGATATAGAACAATTACAGTATCTGTAATTCAGATTGTGAATTTTTGCAGTGTTGGTGAGGCTCAAGGACTCTAGTAAAGGATTGGTATCGTATGTATCCCGCGGCTGCAAAGGGGCTGGTGGCCTGTGCCTGGCTGTACATGGGATAGGAGGGGGTGCTGGGATGGCAGCCTCTCAAGACTTGCGCAGAAGCAAAGCTACCAGGTTTCCAGTTTTTGCCAGTTAAACTCCTAGCTGTCTAAGATACACAGGGCTGCTTGGGGCTGAGATCATTCAAGTACATCTTCTTCTACTGTGGATCTGTAACTTACGGTCTGGCAGAGATGCTGAAGCTGATGAAAGTTGAAGGACATCAGCTTCAGTGCATTAAAAGTATTAAAGCATTGTTTTGAACTTTGCTCCAAAAAGGAGGCTTTCTAATAAAGACAATTTTGAAATATATTCCATGATTGGAGATATTCTGATCTAATTTCTTGAAGTTTAAAACAAATATCCTGCCTCTTCCAAGGGCAGCAATTATGTAGGAGGATATTTGTAGCAATTTTATAAGCATTATTTTTTATATCATTGGGTTCTGTTTTCAGTAAATAGGGAAAACTAGAATTCTCTTTTCAACCTGGTTTCCCTGTTTTGTTTCCAGCAGAATCAAAATGTCGGACAAAAGTGATTTAAAAGCAGAACTTGAGCGCAAAAAGCAGCGCTTGGCTCAGATAAGAGAAGAAAAGAAACGGAAGGAAGAAGAAAGGAAGAAGAAAGAGGTAAATATGCAGGAGTGCCTTTTAAATAGCTCATACCTGCAGAAGGGTCTCGCTGAGGTTTTGACATCTCAGTATTGTATACTTCAAGGTAACTGTCATGTGGGATGAGATCTCCAAAGCCACATCAATCTAACCTTAAAATCAAAATGCTTATTTTTAGCCAAGAAAGTTGGGGTGAGGGAATTGCTTTTAAAACCAACATGCTGTCAGATGACAACAGTTGAGACAACATGATGTGTATGTGTGTGTAGAAAGAAGAATTGATTTGCCACAATGATTTTTGCTGGGCTTTCCTTCAATGGAAAGGGAGTGGAGAGTGCAGAAAGACAGAAAAAGGTCTTGGGTTTTTTCGAGCTATTACAATCTAAATATGTATTTTCTTCTCTGAAGACCAGCTTGATTACTGGCTAAGGTAACAGATTTACAATTATTATTCTCCAGTAAAGTAAAACATAATTGCAATTGCATTTTCATCTTCTGGCATGGGTGCATCTTTCAGTTCTGTTAAAGTTTGATTGACATATTAGTTTATTTGTCCTTGACAATATGCATTAGATTTTTCATTAAGGGATTTGTACTTCTTTTTATTCATTCACTTAGTGGAACAGAGGTGAGAATTGACAGGGAGTGGATATTCATTTTCATGCAAAGTCAGAGAAGCATTAAGTGATTATGTTTCCTTTCCTTCAAATGTCAACACTTACTATTGTTTAAAGCACCTGTTATCCTTTACTAATAACTGGTTTCCTTTTAAACTGACACTTTAATATTGCACATGAATTTCACAGAATTACTGTGGAAATGTGATGTGATCCAAGAAATCCATGTTTCAGTTTTGGTCGTTGTTTTTTGTCTTTTTTCATCTGAGACATTTTTGTGCAATTACCAGCACATATCCCAGTGAGGCTCCTAGAGTCACTGTGTGAGTCCTCTATAAGCAAAACTTTAGATGTTAGTATTTTCAGTGTTCAGCACTAGCCTGTTAATGAATTAAAGAGATAGGAGGCAAGCCAGTGGCTAGAGGAAGCTACTGAGTTCTTTTCTTTGTCTCCTGCCTGATTTTACATCTTGTGGAGATCCTGTTGTGGTTGGAATGTTCCACTGTCCCCAGAAGCCAGCTCTAGCCACTGAGTCTAACCTGTGGAAGCTCCAAGAAGCGTCCTGCACAGGTGCCTTCCAACCAGTACCATTCTGTGATTCTCTGAAGGTGTAGTTGTTTAAGCAAAGAGGAAGGCATCTGGTGGACCATTAATTTTGGCTGTCGGTGTCAGGGGCTGCCAAAATACTGTTTCAGCTGTTAGTCCTCTTCTTTGCTCCTATTTGATGCTGAAGTTCTAAGACAGTATTTTCACTGCCTGCAAGTGCTTAGGACCTAATGTAGGCCCTCAGTCTACATCACCAAAGTCCAATGGAGTGTTATTTCTTGATCCCTGAAGAAGTAGGGATGGGGTCATTTTTAATCAGGGTCATGATATCTGTTATTTTATGGTCAGTGTCCGTGTTAGCTGAATAAGTCAGCACACCAGCATTTTCAGTCTGTCAGGTTGTGGTACGTGGAGTCAGAAAAATGCTTTGGCTTTCATTTTTCTACAGAGTAGCTGCATCTGATATGTGAGAGGCAAAAGATGTCCATTAGTGTTCCGTAAAATATACTTGCAAAGATCAGTTTTCTCATGTAGTCAGGGGAAAGTATTGTAACTAACATATAAACAGTATAAATTAGCTACCTAAACGTTCTAAGTGAATTTTGAAGTTTTCCTAATCAATAATGCATGTAAATATTCTTCACACGCTTAATTGCTAGAGCTGATTATATGTAGACAAATTTTTATTTATTTATTTTTTTAATTGAGGCTGATCTACAGCAAAAGAAGGAGCCAGCTCAAGAAGATTCTGACCTAGACCGCAAGAGAAGAGAGACAGAAGCTTTGTTGCAGAGCATTGGCATATCCCCAGAACCACCTCTAGGTATTTAAGAGAAGCATACTGTAAAGCATTCAACTCTGCCACAATGAATGCATTCTTTCTATTAAAGCATGCTTTGCTTTTTTTGATTTTTGGCTGTATTAGTGAAGTGAACTCTTCTGTTTGAATGCCTACCATACCATTTGCATATACCAGCTCATGGCATTTTGAGTACTTACCATTGCCAAAAACATCTGTTTCATTTCTAGAAGAAATTTTTGCATTGCAGGTTGATTTTGCATACCAGTAATGATTTCTTTTCTGATGGACTATTAGGTCTTCTCTCACACCTGATGACCCACAAATAATATATAAATAATAAAATATATATAAATAAATGATGCACCTCGTTAGCCCCAATCTTTGTTTCATAAATGCAAGCATTTGCTAAGGAAGGTGGAGCATAGTTATGTGGGGACTCCTGTTTATTTTCATTAAAATTCAAGCAAAATGGAGAGAGAAAATAAAAAGGCAAATCACAATGATCAGAAAGCTTATCAACAGATTATTTTTGTGTTTTTTTGGACCTGGTTGTTCTGGTATTTAAATTATAGAATCTGGAGTCCTCAGTTTAAGAAAAATACATGGGAAAATAGAATCTGAAAATACTTGATTAAGTTCTATCTGATGTATTAGTTGGCCCTAAAGTGAGAAATTTCCTTCCTTGCTTCCTTCCTTTTTTCCCTTTTTCTCTCCTCCCTGCCTTGCCCTGCCCTGCCCCTCTTCCTCTCACTTTCTCATTCCTTCTCTTTCAAGTGCTTTCCTCTCCTTTGAATACAGAATCACTCTAATTGTTTTAGCTGAAATACTGGCATCTCTGGAGGTACCAGGCTTTGTCATTAAGTTCTTTGGCATTGAATCTAGGATTTTACCTAGATATTCTTGCCTGTAATATTTAGGGAAAAGAAAAGAAAGCAGAAGCCTTGGTTTCAGAAAACACTTGCATAGTTCCTTATGAAAGTAGATGGTGACATTCTGAATCATGAATTGAGGACTTCAGTCCCTACCTTGCATCAACCGACATTTTCTGGGACAAGTTACCATTTAATAAGTTATAATCTACTGATCGGAACTTTTAAACCCACTTCTCAGAAAATATGTCTGCCGAGTAACTGTTGGGTTATTTTAACGTATCATAAAATATGCTTTGTAAATAATCTAGTGGTGTATATACAAATACATCACTTCAATACATTTTTAATATTTGTGCGTTTAGAATATTCATATTTATCTTAAAAAACGTGGATACATTTCCTTATATAATAAATGAACACTTATTGATGTTACAAAACAATAGTTCTTATCCTAGTTAACTATTTTCTTTGTGCTATCGAAAGAACATTAAAATTCACATATAAGATGATCTTAATTAAGCAGTAGTATTCTGTCCTCCTTAATTCCCTTTTGCATACATTGACTATTAGTATACAAAGGAAAGCTTAATTCTGCCTTCACATATGATGCCCCGATCCCACTGCGAACATGGAATACATAAACTGCCATGCCATACCTGTAACCTGCCAAAGGGCTGTCATGAAGATGAATTCACTTTCCATGCTGCATTCATTTCTGTGACAGCCTCTAGTATGAATCTGCATGAAATGTTTGACCACATGGAAAATCCAAGTCTCTTGACAGGTCTGTCATTATACATTATAGAGCGTAACAAAATAGTTTAAAGTTTCACTCAGTTAAATCCATAAAAAGAAATGCACATGATTTAAACCAAATGGGAAACCTCACTGTTGCATTAGAACTCCTTTTTGTGTTTTATTCAGTGTGGCTGCTTTGAAGAATACTTGTGCTAAATCTTGACTGGAGCCATTCCTGCACTTCAGATGTTTTTGAGAAACCATTTTAAAAGAAATCAAGATATTTCTACTTTTTTATTTGTTATTCCTTGCTGAAGAGCTTAAACTTGGGCTGACCTTGAGCTGTGATCTTCCTTTCCTGTTAAAGGAAACAAAGCTGGATTTGCATGAATATGCTTCAAAAGCCCCAGCAAACCAAAGGGAAAATCATTTCAAGAGAGTGCAAATAGTATCTAAGCCAAGGGAAATATTTCCTTGAGTGTGGAAATCGTGTCTCATCCAAAATGGCAATCTAATACAACTTAAATTATTTAAGAAAAGATGTTTGCTAAGCAAATTAATGTGTATTCTCACCATCTTTGGGAAATGATTTTAACTTAGCTGGATTTCCTTATTTAACTTTTATTTTGGATGCCATTTCTGCACTGCAGTCTAAGAACATATCTAATGAGCAGTGGCTTTTAATTTAAATGGAAAAATTGAGAAGTTTGCTTGCTGTTTTGCCTCCTTGGCTACCAGAAGAGTTCACTTAGATTTCTGACAAGACAAGCCCCTGGTATTTCTTCATACATTTAAAATCTTTTGCAAGTCAGCTTTAAAATACAGCCAAGAAAAAACTTCTGTTTCTGCAGATATCTCCGCCACTGATCAGTTATGGAATCATATTGGGCTTTTAGTCCTGTCTAAATTCATGTCAGTTTTAACACTTCCAGAAGACTTAAAATTCACTTGACTCTCTTCCTTTTCTTTTTCTTTCCTTTCCTTATTTGCTTTCACCATTTCAAACTCTCCTTATCATTCATCCACTGTCATTTTGGTCCATTGGTTTTGATTTGTCTGACACTGCTCTTCATCAGTGCAGTCGCTGCATGTGTTAACATGGGATACCTGTTATTTTCATTATTTAGTCCCAACCCCTATGTCTCCCTCTTCGAAATCAGTGAGCACACCCAGTGATGCAGGCAGCCAGGACTCTGGAGATCTGGGACCCATAGGAAGGTAAGACAATGGTTTTGAATAAATGTGTTTGTTTGCTTCACTTTTACTTCCCCATTTTTCCTTCTGCTTCCATAAATGAGAACGTGCTCTATCTGAAGTGTGCTTTTGTTCGTGCGTTTTCCACTGTGTGTCACCATCCAGTCAGACTGGTCTCAGATGTGAGGTAGATAAGCACACACAGCAAGCCGGTGATAAGTGATAGGTGCCAGAAGACATGTACTGGAAACAAGAACTGAACTGATGTGTCTAAAGAAGCCCACAGAAATCTGTCATTCTTTGTGGATATATGCTAAAGATAGAGGAAGTGCCCAGTTGTAGACCCTGTTATTCATGTGAGTAATCTTTGTGCATACAACCAATCCCTTGTGAAGTCTTGTTAACTGTTCACATTTTACACCAGGTCGTCTTGGGTTCTTGTACTGCTGCTCATTGTTGTGTGTGGCACTGACAGCGGTGGGGTAGGGCTTGTAAAGAAGCAGGCTGAAACCCCCCAGCACCTCTTGGCAATCCTCTCTTGGAAACTGTAGTTATCAGATTGTTTTGTGTAAGGTGGGAGGGAAGCAGCTCTCTTCTTTGAAAAGGATGGTGTGTGTGTGTAAAGGATGGGCACAGGGGCAATCTTCTTATCTTGGTTGATATGACTGAAATTGGAAATGCAAGTGGCAATCTATGAATAATTTCTAGTTTGGAGTAAAAAAGTAATGAAGATGCTGCTAAAAAAGAAAGGAGGATGCTGGTGCTCACAGAGGATATGTTCAAGTAAGATGAGTTCCAAGCAACTATACTGTGTGTTTTGAAAAATGTAAAACACAGGTCCTAATAGCTCTTTTTGTATTAAACTGTCTCAAAATAAAACCAACTCATCCAAATCTGTGAGTCAAAACCTCTGCTAATAGCATGAAAACTCACTGATTTCTCTCTGCAGTATACAGTTTTCAGTACTCTGCTTTTACATGCATAGTCAGGTGCCATACTTCTACATACATAACCAGTAATGTTACAGAGCTCAGATTACTAGATTTAATTCCACACCAGCCTTCTGGTTTAAAAAAAAACACAGTTTGGTAAGCTGAAAGTACATTGTATTCCCCTTCAGCCCAATGCAGACACCGTCCATTGAGATGAGGAAGTTGCACAACTGCTGCTGAAAGCTGCTCACAGCTGCTCAGTCCTCCAGAAGGGGATGGAGGTTGTTAAGTAGGAAAGCTCTAGCCTATAAAATATGGCAGTTCAAAACGTGTAAAATAGTGTAATGCTACATTTATAAATAAAAGCTGACTCCAGTAAGCAAGAATACTTTGAGGAGATCAAAAATTGTTTTTAAGCAAAGTGTAGACTGCTGTTCAGGATAAAGTTACTTTCTGCAGCCCTAGATGCAGCTGTGACAATGCTAACTGGACATTTCTAAGTTCCTCATGATGTGGTAATGGTGTAACTTTTTTGATGTTAAGACAGTGAAACGTATTTGAAGGAATTTATTTTAACATGGTCTACACTACCACTTCAAATCTCTGCCATCAACAAGCAACGACAGCATATGATCATATTTCTCTAGAGAAGAGAATTGAATTTGTTCTCATCTACAGAGGTCATGATGTACTATGTTATAAGCTATCCTTCTGGATAATTTTCTGGATTGTTGTGGTCATACTAGGAATTCAGTGCTAATCCCAGGGTCTTGTTTGCTGTTCATGGCTTTGCTTGCCATCCTCTCTGTTCAAAGTGTTGTGTTTTGCATCAGGTTGGCCATGGGTATTTGCCTGGCATGACTGACTTGTGGTAATGGCAATTCCACAAGCTACTGTCCATGTCTCAGGGAGTCTCTGTAACTGGTGGATAGTACTGGATGGTTGTTTGTCATTGGGTGCAGAAGATGTACTCAGTGTGTGTTCAGGTGCATCAGTACACTCAGGTATGCATGCGTGTTAGAGTTGTCCAACTTGAAGAGGAAAATGTTAACAGAGCTGTCATCACAGGATGTAAGCAGGATAAAATCATCTTTGCTGTATTCTGCCAGAGGAATGCCTAGACATTATTTCTGATTTATTTTGATTATGTGCAAATGCCTGTTTATCTGTATAAGGAAGGTTATTCTTCCTTTTATGTGTCCCTCCATTTTGCTGTCTCTGTAAAGAGGGTACATTGGCCATGTCATCTCTTATGCCTTAGTTCTAGAGGAGATTCGAGTAGGATATTGGGAAAAATTTCTTTTCAGAAAGAGTGTTGTGACACTAGAAGAGGCTGCCCAGTGAAATGGCAGGGTCACTGTGCCTGGAGGTGTTCAAGAAGCATGTAGGTGTTGCACTGAGGGACGTGGTTTAGTGGGCAGTATTGGTGGTATGTGGACAGTTGGACTGGATGATTGTAGAAGTCTTTTCCAACGTTAATTAATGATACTATGGCTAAAGGACTGTTTAACACAAATAGCTACCCTAAATGAAGAATCACAACCAAATCATGAACTCCACCTTTCTCTAGTGTGACCAACCTTCCATGGAAGTGTCATTTGGGAGTGTGTAGATTTGGAACTGAGCGTCGTGGTCAGTGGGCATGGTGGGGATTGGTTATAGTTGGACTAGATGATCTTAGTGGTCTTTTCCAGCCTAAATTATTCTATGATTTTAAGCATGTGAGATCTCCCCCTTTTTATCATTCTGCTGTAAATTGGCTGTGCAACTGTAGACTGAGCACAGACTCAGGAGGAGAGCAGATTAATTCTAGAGCTGCTAATGCTCAGTCTCAGAGATCACAGCTCGTCTGTTGCTGTTGCTGCTGACACTGCTGCAGGAAGAACTGGCACATACAGGCTGGCAGAACAGAGCTACGAAAGGCTGGAGGCAGGCTGATTATTTATTAATGAAGAGATTTCCAGAAGAAAATGTGGATATTTAAGTAATATTTTTTAAAAAAAATCTGTAAAGTCGTAGGTTTTGGTTTGGTACGGAAGATAATGCCTTTGAGAGTAGCCCTGCTGAGAGCTTTGAGGAAAGCAAGAGATGTTTTTATGTGAAGCACTGGTTCCTGGTGCAGAACTAGGCTGTGTTCACACTTTGATGGCATATGATAGTAATCAGACTGAACCTATTGGTCCTAGTATCACAAGTATACCTGAGGTTTGTTTTGATTGGCAAACACCTGTGATTTCTTACAGACCAATAAGCACTGTGGAGCTAAATCTAGAAATCCAAATTTCTGACATCTGCTTTTTAGGAAGTTAGTTGATAAGTAGTGAGAGTTCAGGCAGATGGTGCTAAGTAGTTGTTGTCCTGGTACCACGGATCTAATTCTACCCTAGTTAAGAAAATGAGAACTAGCTGGTAACTTGCTTTCTATGTATAGAAATGATATGAGGAGCAGAAGGGCTCGTGTAGGCAGTGCTTAACAGACAGCAAATGGTTTGGCATTGGAGCTGGCCAAATATAAAACAAGGAAAACTGTAAAATTTTAATGACAAGACAAATTAATCACTAAAGCAATTTACTTAAATACTCTATTGGATGTTGTATCACTGGGCATTTCTCATTCAGGATAATGTGCCTGGCCGACAGGCAGATAATAGCTCTAACAGTAATTCATTCAGAAGAGCCGTACAGCTTTTTGTTGCACAGGAAGAAAAGCCGCGTGGTCACAATGGTCCCTTTTGGTATAAGTTCTATACACTGGTAGTGCTGCCATCCAGCAGCACCATTGTCCATTATCTCCAACATAATAGCTAGAGCAGTGCTGCTTTTTCCCTGATGCCATTAAGCTTATTAGGATAACGTGTGGGGCGGGCTGTGTAATAACACTAAATTATGGAACCATTTCTGTCCTGTGTAGTACAGGTTTTTGTGTGTTTTTTTTTTTTTTTTTTCTGCTTGATCTTCAGTACCACATGGCTATTTGTCATAGCCTTTTCACCAAAGATGACGTTAGGTTTCGGGAGTGTTCCAACTTCTGGTACGTGACAAGACATGATGATAGCAACAGTAAGAATGTACAGATGTTAGATAAATGATGCTTGAAACTGCTGGCAGTTTTCTTTGAATGCGTCCATTTGGACAGGGCAGCTGATATTTTTGTTTATCATTTTTTGGTTGTGGTGGGGATAAATTCCAAGTAGGCAGAAATGTGTTATAAAATCACTGAATATCCCAAGAGATTAGCATCGAGTCCAACTCCTGTCCCCACACAGGAGCACCCCAGAATCAGACTGTATGTCTGAGAGCACTGTCGAAACACTCCTTGAATTCTGACAGCTTGGAGTTGTGACCCTTGAAGTCGTGCAGCCCATTCCATGCCCACCGCCCTCTGGTGCAGACCCTTTCCCTGACCCCCAGCTGCCCCTCCCCTGACACAGCTCCGTGCCATTCCCTTGGGCCCTGTTGCTGTCACACAGTGCAGAGCTCAGCGCTGTGAGGAGCTGCAGCTGCCATGAGGCCTCCCCTCAGCCTCCTCTGCTCTGGGCTGAGCAAACCGAGGGACCTCAGCTGCTTCTCATATGTCTTCCCCTCCAGACCCTTCACCATCATTGTACTTTTATTCTGGATCCATACCTGTAAAACTTAAAAAATAGATTATGCATGTACTGCTCTTAGTTACTAGGCTGCTCTGAACAATTCATCAGAGCCCAGTTGTTGCACAGAGAGCAGCTTGCCTGTTTCCACATATTTGCACAGGGTTGACTGTGTTGCTGTGCTGCATAGATAGGAGTATTACATCACAGCCTGAACTCTGGATAGATAAGTTATTAATTCACAGGACTTTCTGTTATGGCATGTTCAGACATGACTCATTTACCACAAGACAGCATTGCAGGATCCCATTGAGATTCTGCTATAATACAGTATACTATGCTTAGCATGGTCAGAGTGAGTATTTTGTTCACGTTCTTTTGCTAATGGTCAGGTTATATAGCTGTGCATACCAGAAATGGAGATTTCAGCTAACTATGAGGGCTGCTCTGACAGTGTTGTCTCCTATTTCATTAATGCTGTGCCACAACGTCAGAGGTGGATGTT